TGCCTACTCCCATGCCAGCTGGGGTACACCCACCTCCTTAGGAGCGCAGACAGTTCCACCAGCAGCACCTGCTTCATCTGTGTGCCCAAGTCAGGAGTGATGTTTTCGGCCTTGGCCTGGCCCTGGGAGACAATCTGTGGGGTGACAGTAGGTGAGCAGAGCAGGGGCCACCTGTGGGAGCATGCTAGAGCAAGGGGGGGACTCAGACATGGGCCCGTGCCTGCACTAGGAACAAGGGGACGTGGTTCTGCTGGCACAGGCACAGGCTGGGTGTGTGCAGTGTGCACCGTATACCTGAAGGACAGACCATGGTACCTGGATAATGTCGATGGCCAGCTCACTATGGCAGTGACCATCCAGCCTAAGGGGAGCCACATCCTGGGCCCAGTGCTGTGACTCCATCTCTAATGCTCGGGCCATCAGCTCCTTCACATTAGCCTGGAGGAAAGAGGGGCAGGTCACTGTAGCACTGACCTGGCTCACCTGGAAGTATCTGTCACGCTCACTGCCCGTGTTGTCCATCTCTGAGCCTCCCCTCATTTTTTGTCCCCACCCCACCCTGGCTCAGACAAAGGACTCACAGCCTCACTGGACAGGAACGTGGCCTCCAGCAGCCGAATCTGCTTTGGGGGCAGAAGGCTCCCAAGACTGACATCCTGAAGCTCCTCCGCCAGCTTGGGGCTATTGAGGATGTCACTGTGGGCAGAACAAGGCTGGCATGAGAACTGCACCTACTCGGCAGTACCCACCCAGCAAAAGCCAACCAGGTGCCACCCCTCGGCACTCCCCACCACCGTGCCTTCTCTTACTACCCGCCCGCATTCCTGCTTTGAAACAGTCTCCAGAGTCCGTCAGCCTGAAACATTGCCCCAGCCCCTGCCAGTTACCACCATCTCTCCTCTAGTTGACGGAGTCTCCTCCCATCTCCCTGCTTCCCCCCAGGGGCCCAACAATGCCTCCCCACCCAGAGCCGCCTTTCAAATCTGATCTTCCCCCTCTCCAAGGCTTCCTCTCTTGCACAGATACAACCCAGCCCTTTACTTCAGTGCCCCTGAGACATACCCCTCCCTCTCACTGTGACCAAGCCTGCCACCCCTGCCAGGGCAGCCCTGCTGCCCCCAAACAAGGGCCAATCCACATGGAAGGACTGCCTCAGAACTGCCCCATGGAGGCATGTGGCTACCTTTCTTGGCACCTCTACAGAATCCCAGAGCTCCTGGGGGACCTGTGCAGCCCTGGCACTTCCTAAGGGCCCCAAAAGCTTAAGAATGACCCTCCCTGTGCCCCCTGCCCAGTCTGGATGCATCTGTGTCCCTCTCTTCCCCACATGTCTGGCCACACAGGCCTCAACAGTGCCCCTCTGGACTCAATGCCCACACTTGTACCAGTTCCTGTTTTGCTAACCCCGTAGGGGCCCTCATGCTAGAAGATCTCAGGGTCACTGGGACAGGAAAGCTGACCGGCAGAGGTGTGAGTGCCCAACATTTCCTGATGAGTCAGGATAAGCCAACAGGAACTGGCTCAGGCAGGGCTGGGTGCTCTGTGGCAAACCTGCCCTGTGCCCATTTCTTTTTTTTTTTTAATTTTAATATTTATTTTTTAGTTTTTTGGCGGACACAACATCTTTGTTTGTATGTGGTGCTGAGGATAGAAACCGGGCCACATACATGTCAGGCGAGCGCGCTACCGCTTGAGCCACATCCCTAGCCCCGCCCTGTGCCCATTTCCCCATGCCTTGCTGGCTCCTCACCTGCCACTCCACTGCACCTTTCCTCTGGCCCTCCCCCCAGGTGGACCATCAACACTAGCAGAGCCTACTGGCCACTTGGCAGTCCACAAGACCCTCAGACACTGTCCACACTGTCTACACCCCAGCCTTCCCTCAGAACAGGGGACAGCAGGAGCTGAGTCCCTCAGTAAGAACCCCTGGTTTCCATTGCCTGGGCATTTCTATGCTGCAATATGAGGCTCTCCTCAGAAGCTTGGGTGAATGACAGGCACACTCAAGAATCCAGGGTCTGAGCCATTCAGAGGATGCCCAAGGCTACATCCAGCTGGGTACCAGCTGCCCTTGTTGGCACAGCCAGCCTCCCACTAAAGATCTGAAGCCCTTGGTGACCAGAACCTGGACCTGTTGTGGGCTCATAGGCTAACCTGCACAACAGAGATCTCTTCCACAGGGCACCTCGCCCTACCTGACCCCTGCTAGCTCTCTTGCCCAGGGTTGCCCCTACAGCATGCTAGATAAATCTACACAGGAGCTCTGCTTTAGCTCCCAGGGTGACCCTGCCTTTGGCAGGAACAGCATCCTCCCTCCTCCCTTCTTCACCACCTGTCCAGGTATCCTCCCTGTCCTCTGTGACCTGACTCTACATTTGGCTGTGAGCTGGCTTAGAGCAGCTAGAGGTGCTGCCTTAGAGACCTGGAGGTCCCTTGCTCCTCCAGGCCTGGCTTCCCCTGTGCCTGGTCACCCCTGCCACAGCCCTTCCTGCTCTGCTTTACCCCTCTCCAGACTGGGACCTCATGAATGAATGACAAATCGCTACCATTCTCTGTGCCTCAGTTTCCTCAACTGAGAATGTAACTGGGGCCCAGGAAATTTTAAGATTTCAAGTGCAAAGCAGACTCAGGCCTAGAGCCTGCCTAGTCACTGTGCCCAGACCCTGGAGGCTCAGCCTCAGCCCTTTGCGCACAAGTCCACTATGCATTTCCAGCCCAGCAACTCTGCGGGCGCTCCTCCAAACCCCTCCTGCACAGGGACCCCCGCCCCGCCACCCGTGCCTGCTCACTTGGGGTAGAGGTTCTGCACCCAGAGCAGCAGCAAGTAGGTGTCACGCTCGCAGAGCTCGAACTGAGCCATGGAGGCCAGATGGGCAGCGAAATGCTGGTGGTAGCTCTCAGCATAGGTGGCCACCACGCCGAACTCGGCGGGGAACAGCGGCTTCAGCCGCTCCACCACGGCCTCCA